GCATTAGTATATTTACACTTAGATTTGTTAATATGTAGGTGAAAGGGATTTGTTTACATTGATTGTGGACCCACATTTCATAACTTTTCAAAAACTAGCAGAGAAAAGTCAAACTGCATCATTTAAAAAAAAATCAGGATAACATCTGTTCGATTTCTGCAAGAAGTAAAAAGTACAAATCTAGCAAAATAAATATTTTTATGATCAGATCACAAATCAATTGATGTCATCTTACAGGTGTTTACATATTCTGTTCGACAACATTTGATTATAAATGTATCGCATATTTACATGTTTGTTTATTTTTTCTGTAGAATTCGAAATTTAATCAGTCCTAAAGTAAAAAGAAAATAAAGCAACATATCTGACAGTAAAACTTTGACACTTCAAATACAAACCAATCAAATAGTTTAAACAGAAAATCAAGAATCTGAACAAACCTAAGAGTTTAAAGCATTTTGTGTCATTAGGCCATGTTGCCTCAGTGACATGTTAGTGTGGTCATAAATATGCAAAACATAGTGTTACATCACTTTATTAGAGGGTAAAGTAATGTTTGAAGTTAAACGTCTGCAGGAAACAGATGAAATTMTATGCTTGTGTGCAAATGTAATAATTTATGGATTAATACAAACAAMACGTCAGTTAGTGAATCGCACAAAGTTCAGAAATAAAAAAGACCAACTACAATCTGCATGTCGCTGATTTAAATGTTCCTRATGTGTTTTTATCACAGATTTCATGGTTCTGTGTTGGGCTTCAAGCCTCCATCTTCACTGTCATACAGCTTTAAGGCCAGGTTTTGTTGTGGTTCAGAGGTGTGGTTGGATGAATTCAGACTGTTTCAGGTAACCGAACAGCACGGGTTCCCCTGCTTTTTAAATCATCAAAGCAAACTCCAGACCTCACACCCCAGCATGCTTTGTTTGTTCTTGGCATGGGGGGGGATCAGATGGAAAGCACAAGAGAAAATATTTATTAGAAAAACCAGAGTGCTAAAATGAACAACTCAATCTAACGTGTGATTTTAAAAAATGACTATATTTGTGTGCACATCTGCACATAGTTGATAGAGTCTACAGCTCATCCTCAGGACAGCTACATCACTCAAAAAAAAAAGAAATTTAAGGTTTGAAATTTAAAAGAAATACACTCAATTMTTTTAAATGACTGATCTTGTCACAAGTGTGCAAACACTGCAAGTGACACATCATTTTTACTGCTTTGGAATGGTCGGAGCAGGTTAAAACCCAGTTTCRGGCCAAAAATGAGCTCTTAAATTGCACTCCATCATCTGACCATCGCACAWAAACCGTCTGCTTCCAAAGCTTAAATTGGAGGCCGTTGAATTAAAAGCTCAGTTTTGGCATGGCGCTTAGCCGTGGAGAGTCGTATCAGGGTGYTGCAGCGACTTCAGCAGTCACAAAGGAAAGAGGCAGGACAGAATCTAACGACACACGGTAAACAAAAACAGCACTTCCGTCATTTTTCACTGTGATAACAAACAGGAGTCAAGGAGACAGATCCCGTGGCAGAAAGGATCAGGGGTCTTTGGGTGTGGAAGTCGACGGGCTGGCAGGAGGACAAACAGGCTGGGCAAAGTGTTTGAACATTTCTGTGGCWGGACCCTGGGGGGGCGATGGGATGGGCGTGTCTGGTGATGCTGCAGAAGAGGMGAAGAGAAAGACTTTATTTACTGATCATGTGTACACAGATAAAACATGGCCATTATATGGTGTGTTTTTTGTAGATGTGACTTTTGATTATCTTTACTCTTTAGTTTGTCCTGCAAAAAAATATTTCTTATTTTTTTAAATCATGTCTGGCAGTACATGCATGTTTTTAAGAGTTGTRTTTCCTATGACTGAGGGTGAAGGGACAGTCATGTTTTTGCCCTTGGCTTTCTGTGTGGATGTGTGTGTTCATTTGTCTTTAGAATAATGTCCGTCTTCTGTCATTTCCCTTTGGGATCAATAAAGCATTTTTGAATTGATTTGAATTGAATTTGACCAAGTTTTAAAATCTTATCTAATCTTAAAATGTCTTTTTGATCTCCTGTTGAGACTGAGAACAGAAATGTGTAAAACTAATAATCTTGCTAGCAGAATGTGTAAGATTATTGATCTTGTTAGCCTGGAAATTTGACTCAAATTAAGTGACAAAAAAAATCWGCCAATGGAATAAAACAATTGGTAAGAATCTTACGGCTGACAAGAAAATAATCTTACATCTGCTAACAAGATTATTATTCTTACACATTTTGTTCTTGTTTAGTAAATCAGTCTCAAAACGAGTTTTATTTATCTTTTTTTATGGCTGCATACACGATTTTCTAACTTTTTTAGATGGACAGCTTTTGCAGTGTAGTAAAATATCTCAACCACTGGGCTGATTTGAAATAAACTCTTAGAAAGCAATTACTGGATACAGCTACAATTGAACTTTTTGACGCTACAGCTAGCATAAAAATGGATGCAACTCTATCAAGTTTACAGATACTGAGCCAGCTGAGTCATTCTCTGAACACTGCTCCCTCTCTTTGCTGCACAAGACAATTTTAGTTCAAATCTGTGCGATGAAATGTGTTAACCGACATGCATCTCTTCAAGGAATGCTAAGACTTTAATCCAGGGGTGGGCAATCCTGGTCCT